TTAACAAACATTCAAAAACACGCACCAAGGGTAATGACGTCATTAGCTTTGTGCGTGACTTGTAATCTCCGCATGATGTTGTACTATTGTATTCTTTCTGGCTCCACCCCTAAAGTGATGTAGACCTTGCTTGACGTTGTTCTTTTTGTTCTGGAAGAAAAAGAGGAGCGCAAGGACAAGAATCCCGAGGAGATGAATAGGCTGAGAGATCAACTTGTTGGTACATTCAAAGAGCAGATGGATATCAGGTTAAATTTTTTAAAAAATAAACAAAATAGCCAGAACCGGATGGAAAGTATGCAAGTTTATTTTTGCTCTTCAAAACAAGAAAAAGGGAATGGTGTTTCCGTGTATGCTTAGTACCTGCCAGAGAGGAATGATAAGTCAAGTGAATTGATCTCCCCCATAACCGTTCACCTGGCCCGTTTTAAAAGCGAAAGGGTCAATTGTTTGGCTTTTTATGGCAAAACAAAATTTTTGTGGGACACAAATGAATTATGTGAAACGTTTAGGATTGCTTCTGGCTCTTCATCCCGTATTAACGTGGTGAACCTTCCTTACCTTCGGAAACGTTTGTTACTTAAAGTATATTTCTATAAGATGTTCAATTACTGAAGCCTATTTTTTATTTGTGTACTAGACTTGCTAGGATAGTCTAGTTTGTCTGGTATTTCTTTTGACTCACGTGTGAACCAAAGGGAATAACAGGGTTCGTGCAGAGTCTTGAATTCTTGAAAAAGTCTTGAAAATTTGCCCAGCAATTTTCCAGACTGGAAAAAGACTGGAAAATGGCGATAAAGTCGCGGGAAATGGTAAAAAGTCTTGAGGTGTTCTCTTTTCAAAGCTACAACAAGTGCTTTATAAGTGAAATATTTTTCTTTTTGGTCAAATCTTATTCAATCTCGCCCAGGTTACGTTTCAGTGCATTATGAAAAGAGCTTTGTTCCTACGTTTTTTAAGGTCTCTATTGCTGCCCTATTTGATAACCTTAGTCTGAAGGAAGAAATTATTGTTTTGGAAAAAAAGTATGGAACAAGGGTTGAGTTATGGATCCAAAAATCTATACGAACCCTGTAATAAGAGACATTTGCGGCAGGCCATGGTAGGAAATAAGGACCAACAGTACTATTTTTCAATTTTAGGCGCAAACTTATCGAACTGGAGGATACAGCAATGCAGATTTCACTGGATATGAACCGATATATGTTAGTCATTGACGAGTAAGTATAAGACAATCTTATGAGAAATCCTTTCCAGCTACCAGTACTGTCATTGTACTGTTTTTTCGATTAAAGCCTCGGAAGAGTTTTTAATGGGAAAATGTTGGTTGAGTAGACGAAAGCCTGCTGAAAGAAAGATTAATTAGTAATGTGACTTTCCCTATTTCTTGAGAATGGCACCAGCACGAAAAACATACCATGTAGGGCTTCTGTCAGGGGCACCCAACGACAATTTTCGGAAAATATCTGTTCGGAAGACGATTTGAGATCTAAAATTTTCGGAACATTTGTTGAAAAATTTCTTGCTTGCCTGCCTCTCCTAAGATTTTCGAACATCTAAAAACTACTATAATTGCCCATTTTTAACGGATTTTTACCGTTAAAACGTCACCTAGAATTTTCGGGAGCCTTTTTTCTGGCTGAAATTTTGGAAAAGGTAAGTTTTGATCCCTATAATTTTCGGATCACTAGACTTTCAGCTAGGAAATCCGAACAGATGAAAAATTTTTAGGGGATAAAAATATGCCTATATCTACTGTTTAAATACTAAAATAAGTTTAACAATGCTATGTTTAAGTGGTTTTGAACTATATTCTCGTTGGGTGCCCCTGTTCTGTTCACATATAGGAACGTTGATTTCGGCGCGATTTCAGTAACCGAGCGGAGCTTCGCCGCGCCGATCCTCTTAAGGTGACGTTACACGGGACGATTTGCAACGAGGATTTTTAGCGCAACACAACGTTGCAATGTTGGAACAATGTTGTAACCATTCGAAACAATGTTGCAACGCTGTTACTCTAAAAACCGTCGTTTTCAATCGTCTTGTGTAACGAACGTCACCTTAAAGTGGTGAGTCTCATATCGGATAGATGTTCATACTATTCCGGGTAGTTTTTGTGTCGGCATGGAAAGCTATCCCGTAGACAGTAAAAACCCGCAAGTAAGAACCTACATTTTCTGGAGTTAACCTAAACAGGTTCTTATTTAAATGGTAGTTAACACAATTTTAGGCTATTTAGGTTCTTAAATAGCTTCTTATTTCTGTAAAAAAAAAATTACATAAAAAAACAAGCTACAAAACAAGATGGTAATCAGCCTATTGGTCAATTTCAAAATGCGATATTAACCTTTTGCACTTTATTTTTTTATTACATCAATAAATTAGCACTTTTATTTGCACAGCAATGCCAAGTTCCTAATTCTCCAAACAGGATTCTTGCACAGTTTTGCAGCTGCATTTCAATAATATGATTTTAAAAAATAAGAACCTGTTTTTCATTTTCTAGCAGTAGGCTAAACAGGTTCTTGTTTATAGGGGATATAAATGGCAAATTTTAGGCGAACAGGTTCTTAATTTTCAGGTTCTTACTCGCGGGTTTTTACTGTAGTGTGAACATACTCTAAGACCAATACAATAAATGTGACTCTCATGTACCGTGCTGTAGACAAACGATAACTTTTTTGTGCTTTGGTTTCTTAACTTTGACTTCTTCTTTTTACTTTATAATTTCAGGTGGGAACAAGAGAAGGCCAGACGGGGAGTTCGAAAAACGTCAAGAACCCTATCTGAAAAATCCGAAGCGTTAGTTTCGGAATCAGGAAAACAGAGCAGTGATTCTTCTACGCAGAATGAGAACTTTTCCAATGAAAACAGCCGAGAGGGCACACTTTTGAAATCAGAGAGTTTAGAGGATGTAGAAAGCAAAGACTTGGACACTGAAAAGAATCAGACATCAGAACCAAAAAATAATGAAGCTACGACGATTGTAGAACCCGAGGAGGTTGCTTTTGCGCGAGACGAAATCACTACTCTAATTGCGGAAGAAAAACGCACTTCAGAACTGAAAACTGATTTACAGGGAAAACTTCAGCAAACAAGAAAGGAGGTTGAAGCTTTGGAGGAGCTTTTACCCAAGAAAATCAGCAGCGAGGAAAATCGAGAAATCTTGGGTTTGCTGTGCAAAGTGCATGAGCTAGAGATAACAAATGCCGAATTACAGTCGAGCTCATTGCTGAGAGAGAACTTACTGCGTCAAAAAGACTTGGAAATGAATAAATTTGAGTCGAGACAGAGACTTTGCGATGAAATTATTCAGATGCAAAGAGGGTTCATTAATGGTAAGCTTCCTGTAATGTACTGTGAAGAAGGAATTCAATTCAGAGCCAAATAACAAAGTGAAAGCCGTTAAAACAGTGGAGTCGTTGGGTGATTTTTAACTAAGCTTTTTGTGATTAAGATTTCTATTTACATCAGGAACCTGAACAGCGTTTCCTTGCTTGACTCAATCTTCGGATTGTTTCTTAGATTTGAGTATGGAAATATTAATAGTACAGTTTTGTATTGAAGATAAATTGCGCTTAAATTGCATTGCGTTTTACGCTTCGCTAAGAATAAGTTGTTTTCTCAAACAATAAGCAGTAACCAGCTACACCGTATAAGTTGCTCACTCACCTGTTCTTTTCCCGCGCTTTGACGCGGGTCCATGTCTTAGTTCTAAAATCTCATTGGTTCATTTGAAAGCCTTCGTCTTATGTTTTGGTTCAGCGGTACGTTTCTCAAGAATATGGAAAACATTTGGGTCCCGAAAAACTATTAGCAGAAATTTGATTTTTAATTAATTACAGATGAAAAACTGAAATTTTTTTACAAGAACGAGAAGTATGTTGGCGTACTCGTGATTAAACAAATCAGACTTCCGCTTGTCAATCACTCGTATGATTACAGACCCATGTGTAGCCCACTCAGACACTGAATTACGTCGGATGTTACGGTCAGAGGGAATGTGGATAGCCGCTTGTTTATGTTGGAATGGAGTATGCCCTTTGTGATGTCCTGTTTTGTTTTTTTTTAAGATTCAGGAGTCCAGTGTTCTGCAGAACTAGATGCACTTTATGAGGTTTACATGGAGCAGTCGGCTGACTTTGAACAACGGGCGAACACCGCGAGTACAGAAGAAAACACGGCAACCTCTTTGAACTCTATTCAAAAAGTAAAAATTTACCTCTTTTCGTGCTTTACTACACAGCTCTCTGACTGCATTTCTCCAGAAAGAATTGCTTCCTTGAATTGAGTTAAAGTAGAGTATGAATAGGGCATTTAAAATTGCTGCCAGCCTCTTTTTGACTTGAAACTAATTTTCCATGACAGATTTTGGACTCGGCCTTTGGAACTCGGAAATTGTTTCCCTAGCCAAGTCTAAAAGCGGAGCTATGGTCCTGTTTAATTGTGGCTACTTACTAACTAGAATACATGAGCTGAGACTGGTTGAAGGCTACAAGCCATTGTTGTGTTAATTTATTTTTCTAATGTAGTAAACCTTTTTTCAGGCATCTCTGCTAGCGGGAGTTAATCGACGAATGATGCCTTTGGCGCGAGAAAGATTATGTAAGTATGTGTGCGTTGTGAAAACGTATTTCATTGTTAAATTTCAAGCTAGGTACTTACTCCAGGCATGTACCTCAGAGGTGGCCAATCAAGTCAACCAATCATAACTAGAGCCGCTTTAGTGTGTATTGGGGTTTCCATCACCAGTGTTCTTGCTGTTTAGTGAAAGGAATGATTTTATACTTTTAAGTTTCTACTGTATTTATAGATTTTCAAACGCAAACAAAAGTCCTTTTCAAACTCCCTGCCTCGGGGTTATTCTTAACATGTTCTTAAAATTTCGCAAATTCCTGCCTCGATATTCTTACAAAATAAATTCTTATAGAAAAAAGAGTGTGTAAAGCTGCCCAACGCGGAACGAGGGAAATCATTAAATTGAACTCGCTTACCCTGCACCATGCTATCCTTATCCGTATCTTAGGTTTCTCACCTTCGATTCATGTTCGTTTTTTTTTACTCTGATTCTCAATTGTTCAAATAAAAAGTGGTTTTCATACCCTTCCAATATTGTGAGTTATTAACGGCGTGTACTCCTTTGAAACGTTCCCTTTTTGGCGGAAAATAAGGGAATAACAGAGTGCGTATATAAACGTGGACATAATTTCCAGGGTAATTCTTACAAAGTAACTGCAAAGCTTCCTAGAATCAGTGACAATTCTTAATCATGTACGTCGAATTAAACTGAATTGTTTTCCTTCTTAGTTACCTTCAGTAAGCTGTCGCCCTTGAGTGAAGAGACTCCATCACGTATGGTGTCCCTTCAGAACTCACCGGTAAAAATGTCACGTGCCACTCCTTCCACTCGCCCTCAAATGTCCGATGACGTGTTCCTAGAAGAGGAAGCCAGGTGAGAAACTTCTTTCATAAATCAGATCGGCTTATTTGATTTGTGCTGTTAATAACTTTTTCCTGTTTTTCGTAATGTAATAGAGTGTTTTCACATGACGTCACGGCGGCCATATTGATGTCCCAAAACAATGAAACGGCGGCCATGTTGGTGTCCCAAACCAGACCTGTGGGAGTTGAACTCTTTTCTTATGCAAACGCTTTCTTTTGTTCTAATAAATTAGCATAGAAGCTCGCCACGTGAGTGAAAACACTCTATAAGCTCCACCACTTATAAGGCCATCCCCGATTATAAGCCCCTCCCCCCCCCCGCCCTGGATATAAGCCCACCTCAGATATGTATTGAAATAAATTAGATTGCTGTTGGCTTCACTTTCGGCAGATTTTTCTCATCGTTGCAGAGGAGCACGTCATCTTTCTTTTCAGTATCACATGTTCTTTTGATGTTCCTTTTACAAATAACACATGGTCTCATGGGATAAATAATTATCAGTGCAAAACGAACTTTGATCACCACTGCTATAGCTTGTTTCGAAGTGCTTTTGGATCAGTTTAAGTTTCTGGGAAACTACCCACCTACCGCTCCCCTAAGCTAATATTCCCACTTACTTCTCACTTACGGCGAAATGATGGGTTAGGGGAGAGGTAGGTGGGCAGTTTCCCAGAAACCTAAATTGTTTAACTATAGTTAGATTTGAGGACGAGAACGAGTACGAGTACAAGATTTAACTTAAAGTTTTCTTCCTGTTTTCAAAAGCTTTATTTTACGTTTTTTCCCCCAAAAAGTTAGCCTCCCACGCAGGCGTTTTTAGGGGAGCTCGTTTTTCATCCCTCCCCACAAACGCCTGCTCAACCGAAGACAACATTCCTTTCCCATGCATTGCCAATCACATCGTACTTTCCAAATTCTGGAAAGTTGACCTTGACCGCAAGGTAATCTGATGATTACTCGATCTGCAAGAAACACTGGGAAAGCTTTCTGACCTCTAATAAATGTCAGGTTCAGAGCTGCAAAAATAAGATTTAGTCAAATTTTAGAATACTCCATGCACTGCATAACCTTAGCGAAGGAAAGAAAAGAAGGAAAACGGTAACTCTAGGGTCACGTTTTGGTCGCGTTTAGCCTGTCAACACTTTATTGCACAACTGTTGCTTGGTCACTTACCACGTAAATAAAACAATGGGAAAGGAATTATGTTTTCGGTTGAGCAGGCGTTTGTGGGGAGGGATGAAAAACGAGCTCCCCTAAAAACGCCTGCGTGGGAGGCTACAAAAAAGTTAGTACGGTTATTTATACTGAAGGAGGTTAAGCCCTTTCCCGGTAGCAAAATGATAAAATTGCTTCCTTTGGATAACTTGTTCCCGCCACCACGACATTCTCGCCAAAACTCGTAGTAGAATGACGGCGGCTATCACGTTTCCCGCCAAAATGACGCACTCGTAGTCGTCCTCGTGTTAGAATCTAAAGCTCTCTATTTCGGTTGTAAGCACCGTCGATTATAAACCCCTTAAGATGTATAAGCCCAGGGCTTATAAGTGGAAGTTTACGGTAACCGTTTGGGAAGGCATCATGCGACATGTTTAAGGTAGTGGGATTTATACTTCCAGAAACCAAAACAGCGCCTGAAGACTAGAACAAACTAAAATTCTTCAGCGCTCGCTTACCAAGAAAGGTATGCCCTGTAGCACAGATCAAATACCAAGACTATAATTTTGATGCTGAAGGTTTGAATGGTACTCGAAGAAATTACAAGTCAGTGTTGTATATAATCGACAACTGTTCTTGTTCGTCCTACTAAAATGTTCACCTTGTCGGACACTAGCCTGTGTACCGCCACCGCTGTACACAGGCTGGTTGGACATACGTCTCATCCTAAAAAAAAAAATACATTATTTTCATTCCTGTATGTGTTTTTCTTCCATTGTCAGCTCTCAGCCATCTCTCCCCACACCTAAGAATATTAAAAAGCTCCTCAGTTTGACCGACGATGGTGACAGTGAGCGCACCTCACCGACGCCCTCATCCATGACTGAAGAAGTAAGCGAAGAAGTTAGGCCAGTGACTCCAGGTAGTCCTGTCTTTGCTAGGACAAGAAAAATCGCCGAGATAGCCGCACGACGACGTGTTGGACTCGAAAAGGGTCTTAGCCGAAGTAGACTGGAGATTGAGGACGAGCTTCCTTCAAAATCCAACTCTGTAACGGATATGCGCGCGCATGACCAAGTTGTCGGAAGTCAGAAGGAGAAACCGGACTCAAGGATACCAGTGAAGGCATCGCTTAGCATGAGTGACTTGTCTATGATTGACAGGAGAGCTGCAGACGCTTCGTCAGAAGACTCAGTACCTGTGGACAAGAGGAAAGGGGCTGTGAGGACTAAGGTGAACAAGGTCACTCAAAGGAAACCCAGAAGACTGCGATCTGCCTCTTTGGATGATGGCAAGGTCTTGAGAGGTGAGTGTTGTTGGCTTCTAAACATTAGTGTCGATGTTCAGAGGCACTGATTAATATTTTAAGTCGTTGTCATCATCGTCGTCGTCATCACCATCATTAGAGACCTTAGGATTCTAAGACAGGACGACTAGGAGAACAAGATTTTCTCAATACTAAGTAGAAGACACTCGAGGCAGGATGAATTTGCGTTTCACACAATGTAAAGAGCAGTTTCTCAGAGGAAGCTCTCACATACACTTCTGTTCATACATTGTCCTTAATAATGCCCTTCCCAGTGCGGTTTGAAAGTTAAAATGGATTTTGCGTTTCATTTTCCTGAAAACTCTTACTATAATAATACTTTCAGCTCACTCGTCCGTGTTTTATTATTAACTGAATACAAATATTTTTAGTAAAACCTCGGCGCACACGTAAGGAAGAACTTCAAGAAGCAGCAAGGCAGAAGGCGGCAGCTGCTTTGGCTCAGAGGAATCGGTTGTACGGAGGGCAGCACACAGACGTAAGAAAACATGTTGTATCGCGTCGATCGAGAGGGTCAAGTCTCAGTAAAACCACAACCACGCAAAACACTGATCAGGAAAGAGGAAAGACAGTCGTGAAAGCAGCTGGGTCAGCAGCTAGTAATCTACTGGAAGGTCAGTGTTGAATTAACGATTTATAGATAAGTAAACTTGTTACAATGTGTGGCAGGTGACTTAGGGTCAGTGAAACTGTGCCTCGCTGTGTCTTGGTACAGTTTCTTTCTCTCTCTTTCTCTCCTTTCTCTTTTCCGAGGTTTTTGTTTAAACAGGGTAAACATACGTCTTTGTGTGTTTTTAAATTCACAATGAAAACAAAAAATGAAAGTCGCTAACATTAGTTATGTTTTGATATTTTTCCTGCATGTCGAAAGACTTGAGTTTCATGCTAACATCGAAAGCTAGAGTTCGATAATCGATTATGAAAGGAACTAACTCAAGCCTTTTTACATGCCTTCGAGTTGATGGCTTAAACACATTAGTTCGGTAGCCTTTTTACATGCCTTCGAGTTGATGGCTTAAACACATTAGTTCGGTAGCTTTCATGCAAACTTCTCCTATTTCTTGTTCTTCAACCTTCTAAACCCCAATATCCACATACAAATTCTCCAGACTGATTAATCTCTATAAATTTCCTTAAAGAATTAGTGGAGAAGACTTGGTACAAGGTCAAAGTATTTCCCCTTGGTCATCATTATAACATTTCTCGTGCCCTTGATTTTGGTCTCTCTTGGGACTTCAGGGTTAAGGCAACATAAAAACTTTTCACGAGGTCTACATAAGCACTTACTTTATTGGTCATGGACAGTTGGTTTATTTGTTGGTAATATTTTCAGGCGAACTTCAGACGTTCTGGACAAGTGTGACCCCGCCCTCCACTGTTCATCAGTATGGGGTCAACTACGGCAAGGGACACACCATTCAAAAGAGATACCGCGGACCAGCCGAGATCAGCGGAACCGACTCGACCCAGTCCACTCCGAGACTAAAGCCAAGAAAAAATCCGCCAAGGAATGGGACCAAGTCCGTGGATGAACTATCTGTGAGTGGTGTTGCTGTGCGGCCCACTAAACAGGCAGCGGGCGTACGCAGAAGTTGATAACGTCATAAAGAGGTTGAACGTCTTTGGGTCCACTTACTCCTCTCAGAAGATGAAAATTCGTAATTGCAGTGATGTAATTAGTGAAACAGTGAGAGACTGATAAGATGAATTTAAGGGAAAATAACAATTCCATTGCCAAAAACCTGGAAACAGTTTAAGAGTAACTGTTGCTCTTAAAGAGCCAAAAAGATGACCTTCTCAAGTTTTAAAGCTTCCTTGTTAACAGTGACCCCTTCTGTATATGAAGTGTAATACTACTAGTTCAAAAATCCCGGACAGTCTTGTCAACTGAGATCTTATGCCATCATCTGTAAGAAGAAGATAATGGATATATTTGTCAGCCGGTGGGCTTAAAGGAGTAAATCACAGGCCTGACTCAAGTAAATAAATTTCTTTGTTCGAAATCCATATGTACATAATGAATGAAAATTTACACAATAGTACATAGGCGCTATATATTTATAAGGTTTCTCATTCGGAATTTTCGTTTGGATTCGAACTGTAGAAAGTGAATGAGAGGAACTATTTATATTAACAAATCAACTCTTTGTAAAATACATGTTTCTATAATATCATTACATAAAATAAGTTATTGTCTACACAAATGTGTCAGGTGACTTGGATTGTACGTCTTTTTCTAAAAAACTAAAAACAGCTAGCAGAGATGTTTACCATGCTAGCAGAGGTTTCTTTCCGGCGTGGTTTCATTTGCGTCGCTGACATTCGAGTAGTTGCCTCTCGTACATACTACGCGAATGCAAAGCGACGCAAACGACTTCGTAAAAAACCATGCCGGAAGGAAAACTCTGCTGGCAGGGTAAGAGATGTTTTATTTGATTGGTCAAACCGTAGGACAACTACAACGTCTCCAGGGGACGGGAGGAAGGGGGCCTGGGAACGAGGTTCAAATATCTCATCAACAACAATATTTACCATAGTGCCCTTTTATGTTGGAACGTATAATAAGAAATTTGGAATTCAACTTGGAAATGAAGTTTGGAGGAAGTTTTGTGTTGAAACAGTTTTATTATGTATGACTATTGTTACCTGTCTATATTTAACACAAGGGCGCGTTGGGGCATTATTCCACTTTTGGCCCTTTTGCGCGTTGGATATAAGATGGTAGCTAGCCAACGAGGTGCGTAGCGTCGAGTTGGCTATAGTCATCTCATATCCAACAAGCGCGAGTGGAATAATTGTTTTATTAAAAACGCCCAAAAAATATGGAGAATTCTTCCCGACTTTATTACTAAAAAAAAAAAAACGATTTTCAGCTTGCTTTTAATTTTGAGCCAGATTTTGAGCAGACGCATACAGTTACCATATTTGGGGAGCATGGTATAATGGCTCATATAATATAATGGCCAAGCCAATCATAGCTCTATATTTGCATTATACCAGTATCCCAAGGTTTCAAGGTTTTGCCAATTCCATTTTTTTGGGGTATTTTTGATCAGCTCACATAATTCAAATTTTAGAACTGGAATCCACCTTCATCCTTGGAGTACCCACACTCTACGAACCTACTCGCCCCTATAAAATTTTTTAAAACCATTTTGATATTGATAAATTTAGACGCAATGGCAACTAATCCAACTAGAAAGACTAACTGAAGAATTAATATTTTAGACTCTGTACTGTTACATGTACCTCATGCAGTTGGTGATTACCAGACACGTGTTTTTAAGGCCTTGGGCACGTGATCAATCACAGCATGGCAATTATTGTCATGATCTTCTCCGAGGCAACAAAGAAGAGTCAAAGGGGGTATGTCGCGCTATTTGCTATCTTGTTAAAAAGGTAAAACGTGTCTTCGCATCCGTTGAATTCCAATAATCGGTACAGTTTTGTTTTTGAAGACTATTTTAGTTTAGGCATTGTCGTCTTTTGCTACGGATGGCAACACATAAGGGTAATGCTCTCTTCCTAACTCTACTGAAACATTTTGGTGCATCAGTTTGAGTAAAGGCACTAAGTGATGAACCTAAGGCAGCAATATCCTCCTGACGTAGCCTCTTCAAGGCCAGCCTATATATGGGCCCACCGAGGTCAGCTCAGTTGAGTAGGAAAGGTTAGCCCGGCCTTGTGTTCGTTTGAAAGCCGGCCGATCAACCAGGAAAGAATACACAAATTTTGATATTCTAAAAATTCATACTCAACTCTCAGGATTTGCGGAAAGTAATCAGGAAGAGAAATGTGTTATAAATTTGAGCATTATTCATCCCTTAACCTCAAAATTATTTCTTTTAATTTATTCCCCTAAGCCCCGGGATATGAATTCTAATTATTGTAATTATTCAGTTATATCAGCGGAAATTGGTCTGTTGTTCTGATAGTTTGTAGGCGACTAGATTATTATGATGTTTGCCGCAGTTCGCAAAGTTCTTTTGGCGCTACTTATTAGATGTGTAGAGATGGTTTTTGTCGATAAACTCACATAGGTGTTTCATATAGGTTTTTGACAACAAACTCGCAAAATTCCGGGGATCTTTTTTGACGATAAACTCACAAAAGAAGCCTCAATGCTGCTAAAGGGCCGACCATTTGACTTTTGAGGCGGAGTATGGGTGATTTCAGAAAAAAATATCCTACAGACTGATTCTGAGGGAAAAAATCTTGCATGGAAATACCTGACATAGAGGAAAAAAATTCTATCACCAAAGGTTTAGGGACAAAACTCTTACCCAAACCAAAGCATTCATAGCCCCCCCCCCCCCAAAAAAAAAGTCACATGGTCGGCTTGCTAAATTTCAGTATGGTCGGTTAAACAAGGGCCATAAAGGATGCGATACGAGATCTTGGTCAACCGAGCTGGATTTTTGGCGGCATGATCTAGTCGATTTGTAGCTAGACCTACGTTTTAAGACAATCCTCGAGGGCTTGTCCTTTCCCCTTCTAGTTCAACGATCATTACTGACACTAGAACTTACTTGGAACTTTATTTTTCAGTTGCTCTACTGCGCTTTGTAAGCGGCACGTATTTTTTATAGGTTTCATTCCTACTACTTTATCCAAAACGTTGTTTTTAAACCAAAAACTATTTGGTTTATTTAATGTAACCAGTAAAAGAAACCTCTAAAAACCGGGAAGATTTATTGACCGCTATTCGATTTTCGAAAAGAAAAAGAAAACAACGTACGTGTACCGGGGCTATGCACAACTGTGGAAACGAGGTTGGTCGATTGGTGTGGGTTAAAAAAGCGCGCGAAATTTCTCTAGGTCCTGGCTGCTGTCCGCCGCGGCCTCCGAAATACGACGGGAAATAAAAACTCTGCCCTTGCTTTTGAGCTCAATACCGATTGCCTTCGAAAGGTGAGTTTCTATTTCAACCAAAAAATTATTTCAGTTTACTTCAAGCGTAACAACGCTTTAGTTTACCCTCAGTTTACCCATTCCTCGCCTGTTTCAGCTTGCAGCAAGAACTGAAAGTGCACTCTGACAGGCGTACTCTCGCTTATGAAGAACCTCTCGAAACCGCCTCTTTCATAAAAAATAAGGAAAGCACTCAGGACCTCTCAGGCGTAGATTAACCCCACTGGTAAGTTCTAAAGACTGTTTAAAAGTTTGCAGTGCCATCAATCACCCTTACGGTCTTTGTGTTATCCGAGTTAGGCTTAGAGAAACTCTACTTTCAAAAGTAAGCCAAGAGATCCTAAAAAATTATGATCTCTTGTGTACGCTTATTGAGGCTGAGTAGTATATGAAGAATTAAGCAGATCGACGAGGATGTTGACACCCTCCGAGATCTGCTTAATTCTTCATTTCCGACGAAAGCCGAATTCATCAAAATTCCTAGTTTAAAAACATAGCTAAAATATGCTTAAATGCATCGATCATGTTGGATAGTGTAATAAAGTTTATATCCTCGGCTGATTTGAGACCTTCGTAGGTCGCTGTCAACTTTCTGTAGTATGAGCCAAAGCCAAAAAAAAAAATTTTTTTAACCTGATAGTGCCAGAAAAGAAAGAGGGTGAAGATAAATAAAACTTAGAGCAAAAAATAGATAAACAAATTGGAAGAGAACAACAACCAAACATTTTATTTGCCAAGTTAAAAAACGGTTTACAAGACCAGAATAAATTAAAGTAAAACAGTGAAAAATCTACCCAGAATAGCATTGCATTCTATAGGGTTGTGACACACGAAAGATAAAGAGGAAAATAAATGAAATTAAGGAGAATAAAAAATAAATAAATGAAAATAAAATAGAACAAAACAAAACGGTACCAGATAACTATAAACTTTACATTAATTAGGGTCAATCAACAATGGTAATCAGCATCAAAAGTAAGAGGATAAGAAATGTTCCTTCATCGTTTGCTTAAATAAACGCAAAGAGCTACTTTTTGAATTTTCATCCAGATTATTCCAAACAGAGGGACCAGAGAAGTGTATACTAAATTTACTGTAATTACTTCTAACCTGATCGATACAATAAGTTGACTTTGATGCTAGCCTAGTATTTTAGCCATGCTTAGATGATATAAGTGAAAAGAAGGTGTCAAAAGCGTTAGGTAGTAAATTATGATGAAACTGAAACATAAATGGGCAGTATGAATGGTTGGATCCGAATATCATTAGTAATAAAATGTCTAAGTTTAAATAGGTTAAGCAAACTTAGTAAGAGATAGCTAAAAAAGGGGGAATTGTCCGGTAATTCCATCTTTATTACTAAATATGACTAAATGCCAGATAATTTCTCAAAGTAATACACAGTGTTTTCCGCAATTTGCCACAGCCGTTTCTGCCCCCCCTAAAGAACAAGTCAAGATGACTACCTTGCCATAATGTCAAGACTATAAAACGGAAATTCAATTAAGTCAACAGCATAGAAACAATTTGGAATGCACGGGAGAAACTGTGTGCATACCTAGTACGGAAAAATGCTGGCAAGGCCCTTTTCGACAAAATGATTTTGCCCCATAGGGGCTTTTTCAATTTTAACAGAATTTTCGGGCATGAGAAATTTGTAGCACAGACTTATAACTAGTTGGCAAGAGACTGAAGTTTTGAACCCTCAGACTTGACGAGAAGGCGTGCGAGTTGAAAGGTATACTCTTAAAATAGGTGTATAAATATAAGTATGGAAGGGATCCAAGGCCTGACTGAAAAATACAACAAAGGAACTGACGAGGCCAATACTCACCCATCTTAGGCTCACGTTTGTTCAATAACATATGAAGTCCATGCACTGTCGAAAGATGATGGCAGTGGCATCAAAAGGCCCCAAATGGCATCCATTTCTTGAAAAGTTCCTCTGTGGCTTTATTTGAAAGAATATTTCAAATTTTTAGATGGTTGCTCTAAAGTGGGGTGTCTAGCCAACAGATCCACCCCCTCCCTCTTGATCAGTCCCTGCGAGTGTGAGCTCCAGGGATTGTTGTAGATTGCATGAAGCCTCAGTTGCCTTAATGGGCGAAAATAATTTACTTCTTCAATTAAAACATCATTAACTGAGTATTGTAACTTTTGCAGA